ATGAAGTTTCCGTTTATATAAAACAGGGTTCGTACTCTTTTGAGCCCTTCAAATTCCATGACTTTCCATTACTTTTTCCATGACCTTTTCCAGTCTTCCATGACTTCGGTTATAGCTGTCACGCTGAAAATTTTCAAAACTATCCTTGTTTTTATTTAGGGTATTTACCTTACTCAGTGCAATAGATAACACTTTAGTGTCCACCATATGTGCCATTTCTAAAAGCCGTTTAAGTACGTCTGTTTGTCCTTATTTTGGACTGTGCACGAACTAGTCTAGCAAACATAACTTCAATTTTCCATGACTTTCAATGACCGACAATTAAATTCCATGACTTTCAAGGCCTGGAAAATGAATTCTTAAATTTCATGACTTTCCAGGTTTTCCATGACCTGTACGAACCCTGTAAAAGCTTTTACAATCTATTTTGATTTGGAAAAAGTACATACTTCCAACAAAGTTCGCAGTTCACCTTTGAAAAGTAGAAAAAGAAAGTGAATTACCTGCTTTCATCTCCTGTTGACATCCTAATCTGCTTGTAAACACAACAGAATTCAAAGGGCGTCAGTAATCAGAACCAGAAACAGAAAAAAATGCGATTTTTACTTCTTTTTCGCTCAAGTTTAATTGCCTAAAGACTGTTCAACATAAAAGTAGCGTTTAGAAAACAAAACTGGTCAAAAATCGGCAAAAAAATACTTACGTAGTCCTCACTACGCGAATCTCCTAGACTACTCCCCGTAGCCTGCAACCACACGACGGACTGCGAAACCCACGTGCTATCGAGCATGCGCAGTAAATCTCGAACCAGGTCCTCGCTGCGTATTACCGTAGTCCGTAGTCCGTAGTGACCGTATCTTAAACACACTATTGTCTGTGTAAACGAACCATGTGCTTTCAAAGAGAAGCTGCGAAGGAGCGGATTTCGTGGAAGTTTTGGTGGTGTTTTTCGCCATATTCCTTCGTCACTTTCCTTCGTTACGGTTCATGAACACGGCAGCAATGGCGGAAAGTGTTTCCGCGTCGACCAAACGTAAATTTCTAGCGTTAGATGTAACGAAATGGGTTGAAACGTGCTGTAAATTTAGCTTAATACAAGCCCATTCCAGGAGAGGTGAGCTTGTTTACTCAACTTAACAAGAATCGCGTCTGACAACGGATCTACTGGTGGATATGTGATGGAATTAAGCTCAATATGGCCGTTACGAAATGTGTTTCCGCGCGTTTTATTTTGATCTGGAAAACATTCTACATGACGATTCAACTTCAGCGTTGGTTTGTAAATATTATGATGTATGCCCATTACATTTTTGTTATTAGTTTGTTGCTTACACAGTCAAAATTATCATTATTGCTAGTTTTGCACACTATGGTTGTTTTAATAGTTGCGAGCGTTACATTGTTCAGTGATAAAAACAGACGTTTATAACTTGCGTTAGAATAAACCATTCTTGTTGCAAATCACACTGCCTGTTGCTTTTGTCATAAACTACTAACGGCCAAAAAATAGTTCACAGCAAATTCTGTTAACATCCTGTAACACTGGAATCTGGTCAAGTGTAATAGAGAATCAGTATAAACAGCAGGGATGGCGCTAGGATTTTTCATTCTGGGTCCTCGTACCCGCACGTCTGGTCAAATTGGGGTCCCAAGCATTTTGGGTGGGTCCCAAAATCTTGGCGACCCTGCCCCCCCCTCAAGAAATTATTAGTGTTGTTGTTATGAGAAAGAGTGACTGGTAAATTACTGTCAAACTGTTCTCTAAGCTTTATTGCCTTTTTTTCGCTTCTTTAGGCAATAAAAATACAATGTATTCTTAATAGTCTACATGTACCTTACATTTAAGTATTGACAACCCAACTTTTGACTAACGTGTGATCATTTGACAGAATGAGATAAACACTACAGAATAGCGTAGTCAATGTCAAGCATAAGCTGTCACTACTTTCGACGATGACGGTGCCCTTTGAAGATCTGCTTTGCTCTCTCAAAATCAAATTTTGCAAGCGGGGCCCCCTCAATTGCAACTTTCATCAGATTCTCTAAGTTTTCCTTGGACAGTCTGTTTCTAAGGCCCGTCTTGATTCTGTTTTGGCAAGAAAACCCCCTCTCACATGAAGCACCAGAGACAGGAATTATCAATGCAATATTGGCAAGAGTAGCGAAAGTGGAAAACTGTTCACAAAGTCCATCATCAGCAAGGAACCTTTTGATGAACTGCTGCATGTTCATAACACGGTGAGTGTTAAGAAGAAACTTGAATTGCAGGTAGTCTGCTCTTGTGACATCTGGGTCAATCAGTGGATCAATGTTACTGTTGCCACTTGTAGTCTTTGGCTGACCATAGTGCTCAATAAGCTTGTTCAAAGCATCTGCTCCATGAGCTGCTATAGCTACACTACTCTCTGGGAGTGATTGAGGGTTAACTACAAGGTCAAGGGCTTTGCAGATGTCTAGTGTCTCCTTTGGGAACCTCTCGTTAAGGTTTTGAATTAAATTAGCTAGAAATGTGTCACCAGCAGCAATGAACGATCGTCTTGCATTATCACCTGCCTGCTGAAGTTCCTTCTCATGATACAAACCATCTGCAAGTACTCCCTGATTAAGTTCCTTTAGGCTTGGCAGGTTTGCAAGATCGCCATTTAAGTCATCTCTAAGGGCCTGCAATGTAGTAATTGTAGATGATACCATGGCTGGCACAGATGCAAGACCAACAGATTCTTTTAGGAAAAGCACACTAAGCTTTGTTAATGTTGGAAGAACATCTTTCATCATGCAAGTTGCTGAAACAAATTTGTATTGCTGCACTTGCTTCAAGTATCCTTTGGCTTTTGCAGCGTTTTCATTATTATCTTCAGCAGCTTGATGATCCAGACAGTCTACAAGTGCAGGCCAACACTTGTAGATTGCATCAACAGCATTGTGGAGAGACAGCCAACGAGTTGAAGCAGCAACTTTTAAGGTTACTGGTTTCAATTCTAAAATGCTTTGAATTTCACGTAGCTTATTATACCTTACAGCTAAGTTTGAGTAAAAGTTAAAAAGGTTTGTTAACAGTGTTTGCTATTCATCCAACAACTTGGCTGATTTAGCAGCTTGTGAAGTGCATAACGCAAGTCTATGAGCCACACAATGAGTATGAACCAAAAATGGAGCTACTGACTTCAGTCGTACACCCACACCACTGTGACGCCCCATCATGACAGAAGCGCCATCACTCCCTAATCCCACAAGTTTAGTTCCACAGTTGATATTTTTTCTTCCATGAAATTCATAAGTGCATTATATATGGTTTCAGCTTTATCATCTGGCACATTACGATTTCCTACAAATCGAGTACAAGGCTCATTGTCCTTCACAAGTCTGATATAAATGTCCAACTTCTCATATACAGCGATATCCACACTCTCGTCGGCTAGTATTGCAATAAATGGGCTATTCTGGATATCTTCATCAATCTCTCTATTAATCAATTCTGCAAATGCAGAGTTCATGTCAGCCACAGACTGATGATGCTGATATACATTTGCTCCTGTCTTGGGGTCAAGACTTGTAAAGCCATTCAACATCTGGATGACAAAAGGATTTAAAAAGTTGAAATAATGGAATCAAAAACGCTAGAAAAATATTATTTAACTAGTAGTAATCGGAGATTAGGGAAGTGCGTTCGGCATTTCAAAGGGGAAATATTGTTTTTTGGTTATTGGGATAGATGAATATGCCTATGGTATGTTGTCAAATAAAGGGTTATGGCGTGAAAACTGTATTTACTCTGTGTACGAAAAGGTTTTAAAGGCTAGTTATATCGTATGGTTTTGAGGAGGCAGTCGTCGCAGTCCATCGGGCGTGTACATATACAAGTTTTACTGTAGTTGGTGTGGTAGTTAAGTGTTAGTAAGTAGTAAGAGAATAGTTGAAAACGTGTTTAAATGTAAGCATTAATTTTATTTAAATCTATGTTATTAAACAATTTTTAAAATGTGAACTACTTCTGAATTTAGTATAAAATGAAAGAGAATCTGTAAAGCTTTCAGAACTTGTATTTATAGATCTAACACCACATTTTCTGTGTTGTACGGGGATGATAAAATGTGTTTTTCTATTTAGAAATAGTTATCACAATAAAGGAAATTAATTACGAAAAAACAACAGGAACATGTATATTTCTTTTTAAAAATAGTTATCATAATAAAAAAACATCAACTGTTACTTCTGTAACTGAACTGAGCATTCTGAATTGAAAATAGGTCCTTTTTCTATTAAAGTTTGATATCATTGAGCTTTTTGAAAGGTTCAAACTGCTCATTTCGAAAGTCGACATTTAATACTTGTCAAATAGCCTCAAGTGAAACTTCTATCAGCTTATGAGAGGCAGTGTCATAATAAAGATTAGTTATCATAATAAAGAATATTAATTATGAAAAAAGAACAGGAACATGTATATTTCTTTTTAAAAATAGTTATCATAATAAAAAACATCAACTGTTACTTCTGTAACTGAACTGAACATTCTGAATTGAAAATAGGTCCTTTTCCTTTTAAAGTTTGATAACATTGAGCTTTTTGATGAGTTCAAACTGCTCATTTCCAAAGTCAACATTTAAATAATATTTCTCAAAGAGCCTCGAGTGGAACTTCTATCAGCTTATGAGAGGCAGTGTCATAAGTAATGCAGAAGCTTTTTGAAGGGTTCAAACTGCTCATTTCCAAAGTCAACATTTCAATAATATTTCTCAAATAGCCTCAAGTGAAACTTCTATCAGCTTATTAGAGGCAGTGTCATAAGTAATGCAGAAGCTGGATTCATTGTCTAGGAGATGGAAAATGAAGTCTTCCTCTGATATGATGTTGGGGTTAACATCGGGTAAAAATGAAGCCAGTTTATCGACCTCGTGATGAAAGAGTGTCGGTGCAAGTTTGTCATTAATGTTTTGAGTGTTCTGAAAAAGCACTTTCAAAAACCACTGAAGTTGACAAGAAGTTACTCTCATCATCATCTTGCAGGACTGACAATTTGCGATCTTTCCATTCGATTTCACTGTAACCTTCTTTTTGCATGACGTGCAGGAAAGACTTTTTGAGGCGTGTTGGACACCAATTATTTTACCTGACACTTTCCTCTGTGTGAGTGATTCTATTTCTGTTGTGACTTGTGCCAAGTCTTGTGTGAAAGATGGGATCTCTTTGAAAAGAAACTGCTCTGACTTTGGGGTGTTGAGATATCGCGATCCATTGGACTCTTTGAGTCCTAGATTCTGTAAGGCATAGGTCTTCTGATCTTCTAGTTTGTTACAATGTTCCTGCCAGAGTATGAGTTTTATCGAGGTGGTGTGGTCAACCAGAATGACTTCTTGTCTTTGTAGAGCGTAGCCATAACGACTGTTAATCGTTTTAACCGCAGTGATGCTGGATACCTTTGCCTTTACGTCAACCAATTGCTCTTTTGATACTTCTTGTAAAGATGAGAGACTTGGTAAGGAAGATGATGTTGCAGCATATTTGTAGAGAAATGGTACCACCACAGGTTGTACAGTTGTGTTGTTTTGGATGATGATGCTTTCGATGTCATCCTTGATGGAAGATGTTATTTTGTGGAGTCTGACAGCTGTTCTTCCTTTCTGGTACTTTTCTAGCAGGGGTCTCTTTGCTGGGTTGAAACAGACTGACCTAACCACTCTGTCACTTCTTTGAATATTTGGTTGGGGAGAACGTGGCCTTCTTCACAGGAGATATGGTTTGGATGTAGCCCAAGATTTCTTGTACTTCAGAGCTCTGAGAAGCTACAAAACAGGAAAAGTCAGTGGATATGTCATATAATGCAAGTGTAGGCGTGTTTTATGGAATGTTAATATGTCGAATGTGAATGCAATATACAGCTGTAGTCATGGCATAGCACTGGTTATCATATAAATTCTTACTGGAATGGTCTTGAACCACCACTAACTTTATCTCGCACTGACACCTGATTGAACTAATTATGCCATGTATCTTAACACAATGGGAAATTTACGTCTCAGTTGCACCAACCAAATTGTTTATATTCACATACATATCACAGAAGGCTCTGTCTTCTCCAAGAACGAAAATTATAAAACCTTTCTTTAATTATAAGCTCTCCATTTGCTTCCTTTAGTTTTGGGATTAACTGTTTTGTATTGCAGTGAATAAATCAAAAAAATAATAATAAAGAGCTTTTTGATCAAAGTATAATTTAATGAACCTACTTACATTTCAATTGTGTCTCGTCATTCATCTTGGAAGGTGGCTTTTGGTGGTCTTTTCCTGATAAAAGAAAAGATTATGGTTATTGCTTAAAATTTTTTTTATCATTATTTTACAAATTTCGTTTGCAATGTCTTCTATTCCAGTAATATGTACATGTAAAACAGTGCAAAAGTAAACATGAATTTCTTTGAGGATTTATTTGAAAAATTCTATTTTTTAATTAAATTTCTGCATGTATCTTGTGCAAGTTCATCAAGTCTCTTTTCTTCTTCAAGTCTATATTTTAAATTGGCTGACTTTCTAAGACCTTTAAGCCTTTCAAAGGTCATTGGTTCAATAATGCAAGAACGGAGTGTTTTAACTCGGCTAATTGCCACATATGAAATGCCTGCAGTTTTTTCAGTTTGACCAATGTCAATCCATACTTTTGGTAGTGTTAGACCTTGGCTCTTGTGTATTGTTATTGCCCAAGCCAGTTTTAACGGCAGTTGTTGTCGCTCATGCATTCCATCAAGACATTGAGGCCTATAGGAACGCATGATGGAATGGACTTGCTAATTGATGGGCCTTTGTAGTTGTCAAATTTCACAATAACCGCCTGAGGCAAGTCAGGAGGCTGGTGATTGTCTGCATAAATGAAGTCTATAGCAGTTCCAGTTGCACCATTGCAAAGCCCAACATCTGTCCACAAATTCATAGTAAGCATTACTTGTGCCCCTTTTGCAAGGAAAACACAAGGTTCTAGTCCTGCCATTTCATCAGGGCTAGCTTTCTTAGCTAAATCACTTGAATGACGTGCGTTGACACGTGCTATTGGGTTATGAAGTGCAAACAGTTATAGTCTTGTGGCATTTTGAAACTCGGTCAAGTTTGTTGTATTGGAAGGTTGTCTAGTCAAGAGAAGTTTCCAGTCTTGTTCAGTACAATCTCCTGTACGTAGCCGCATGAGTAAATTCTAAACTGACTTTGTTCTGGATTTGTACCTTGAACTCTTTGGTTTACTGACAGTTTAATTACGTTGTTAAACATTAGGTAAGCTAAATGACCTTGTTCGCCAACAGAACTGGTAGGTTTAGAATGGTACAATGGTTTATCAGCAACAGGCGGTAATTGACCAGGATCACCAAATAATATGATTGACATTCCACCAAAAACTTCATCACTTATACCTGTTGCTTGTCTGCAGCGTCTATCAATCCAGCCAAGCATTGATTGTCCTAGCATAGAGTATTCATCAATTATAATATAACTGATGCCTTTCAGGTTGTTCTGCAATCTCAGAAGAGCCTGACCAGTCAACTCCTTGTTGCCTCTTGAACCAACTGGAAGTTTTAACAGTGAATGGATTGTACAGCCATTTATGTTATAGGAAGCTTTGCCAGTGGTGGCAGTCACTGCACAAGATGTTCCGAGTAAGCTTCGAATGGCATTGATCAGATAACTTTTACCAGTTCCAGCAACTCCATTCACAATGAGTAACAACGGATCTTTTGGAGAAGCTTGTTCAGAATGTGCATTTATCATGTTGTATGCATTTGCTTGCATATCACTAAAAGTACTAATATCAATATTTTGTTGGGGCAATGCAACTGAAAATGTGTCTTTTTTAGATTTTACCCAGGAAGGCATTTCTCCTATAGTATGGTGTTCATACTTGCACTTGTCATTTTGCCGGTTGTAATTGTTACAATCAGGCTGAAGTGTTTCTTCAGTTGTGTTAACAAAAGACCCAGGAATAAGATCAGCTAGATACATCCACTCTTCCCGTTGTGGCAGTTGTTGGGAAATGTTTTCACAATCAGTGTCATTTCCTGATAAGTTTTCTAAAGTTAATAATAATAATTTAACAATTTATATAGCGCGTATTTACATGTGCTGATCAATAGCGCTTTACAATCATATGTTTAAAAGAAAACGAAAATACATTACCGTGAGAATAAGATAAACTAAGTTACAAACTATAAAAAATACTTCTTAAAAAGATAGGTTTTAAGTCGAGATTTAAAACTGTTAAGTGATGTTGCTTGACGAAGCTCCACAGGTAGCTCATTCCAGAGTTTCGGAGCTGCTGCTGAGAATGATCTTGCTCCCAATGTTGTAAGCATCTTTCCCTTGGGATGGTCCAATAAGAGCTTACCAGTAGACCTAAGATTATATAATGAATTCGATTTTATACTAATAAGATCGCTAAGATAAGTTGGCGCTAGGCCATAAATACATTTGAAAGTCAAAAGTAAAATCTTATAGTCAATACGCAAAGAAACTGGCAGCCAGTGCAGCTCATAAAGCGCCGGTGTAATGTGAGAAAATTTTCCAAAGCCAAGAATAAGTCTTGCTGCTGCATTTTGTACGCGCTGTAATTTAGCGATCTGCACATTTGGTAAGCCAAACAATAAACCATTACATTAGTCAAGACGGCTGGTTATAAAAGCATGAGCCAAAGTAATTAAAGAATCTCTCGAAAGGTATTTCTTAATACGTCTCAAGTTATGTAAATGATAAAATGCCGCATTACAAGCCTTGTTTGTATGATCAGTCATGCTTAAGTTGCTGTCAAACCAGGATCCAAGATTTCTAACACATGGGCTTGGACTGATACGATTATTGCCCACAGTTATGTGACATAAGATGATGCATTGTCTCTTGTGCAGAAAAATCACGTTGACCAAGTGACTTCATGATGACTTTCTTAATGAGTTTTGTAGGGTTACCGTTGTTTTTGCAAGAGTGCATTATAGAATTAAATGACTGTTTTAATACTGGTGACCTTGGTTCTCCTTTAGATGCATATTTGGCAAGATATTCAACACATGCATGGTAATCAATAACCACCTGAATGTCACAGTTTGCCCTCCAGCCTTGCAGTTGGAGGCGCTGATGATTATTTAGCCTACTATCATTGCGCTTTGTTATTATTTTGGCTTTGTATTTGGGACTTCCATCTTTTGTATGAATTGGTTCAAATTCTAGTTTTGTACTAGAGCAAGGTTGAAATGGAAAGTTAAATCTGCACTTAACATTTGTTTCTTTGTGTTTCTTTCTAAGGCAATAATTGGTACTGCAACGAGTGTGCCTTTGTACTGTATTCAGTAAGTCTACATAATCATCATCAGATTGTTGAGTGTTCATAATATCTTTGTGTTGCCGCTGGCAAGGATGAATGGAGGGTTTAATCCAAAAACCGTCCTCTGGTGGGTGTGGATTGTATGTAGATAATAACCAGTCTACATATTCACATACAGCTTGAGAAGCTTTTTTTCCTTCCAGTATCTGTTTGTTTAGTTCTGGAATATCTGATTGTTCACCTTTATCAAGGGACACTTCTGCCAAATAGCCTTTAAGAGCAGTTTCTGAAAGCTGACATAATCCTGGGTCATTTTAAGTTTTGCAACACTATGACAGTGTATACTTCCTCTGGCTTGGTACTCAAATCTGTACCAGTGCCACTCAGCATCCAGTGAATTACACTCGATTGCAAAAACGTTGACACCTTGAAAGCATAAACCGTGAACGATGAGACCCGACGGATTTGTGGGTAGTGTTTAAACAATAACCTCATTTCCATCATGATAATCAATAATTTACTATTCTTATTCTTTGCAATAAAAAAATACATTGCTGGAAAAAAAAGTATGCCCAAAGCATACTCGGACGATTTACGTTTACAGTTACAGTTTATGCTTTCAAGGTGTCAACGTTTTTGCAATCGAGTGTATACAACCAATGTTTAATGAAGTTTTCTAAGCGCTGTGTAAAGAACCAGTCAGTGATGTGAGGATTGTTGATGACATTCTGCCGTCTGTTCTCAGGTGTGGTATCACTTGACGAGCTGCTAAATAATGCATGTAGTTCAGGCCAATGCATTTCAGCAGAGGAAAAAGTGAAAAAGAATGTTGGAGCTCCAACATGACTTATTATTGCTTTTAAATCTTCTTTAGCTTTATGCCAATAAGCATTTGAGCCAGTTATGTTACTAAGATAGCGTGATAACTTAGATACGAAAACATTTGTGTCGTTGTCAGCTGCCATTTGTTGCAGTTCTTCTACAGTCAGATGTGCTTCTCCAGGATTCTGTTTGAGAATATTCCTGTTTGCTGCAGAATACGTTTTCTTTGGATCATATTCAAAGCCCAGTAAGCAAATCTTGGATGACTGGCAAAGCGGTATAGCCACTTGCCATCTATATTTTCTCCAAATCTTAAAAGATGCTTAACTCTTTCTGCAAGAGGTACATCTCGGTGAAGTGAAGGATTGGTAGGGTCACCCTTGCCATCAGGAAATAATGTAGGGAAAGCTAATGTTGCTAAGAAAGGAGTTAGATACTCATTCAATGGCTCATTATCTACTGTTGGCCAAGGCATAGGTGTAGGCTGGTGACACAACTGTTGTTGTATAGCTTGAACTTCTTGCTGTTGACATTCAGGAATAGGTAGAAAACTGCTCATTTCTGTGCTTTCATTATAAACTGTCTTCTTCGTTTTGAGGCCCTAAGTCAGGCTCACTAGCTTCACTGTTTTCAAGATTTTCTGTTTCTATTGAAAGTAGATCTTGTGGTACACCATGCAAAGGCAATGAGTTCAAAGAATCGTTGATAATTATGTCTTTGTAATACGGATTGTTATTAATAAGCCAATGCAGTGCATCTGCAACATTTTGTCTTCGAACTGTTACATCTTTAAAGCTGTTGTCTTTACCTTTCATCTTAACAACTATAACAGATAAATCTTTTGGGTATCTTGGTAGAGAATGTGCTAGTTCACCTACATTCTGTGGAAGGTTGATACAGTGACCTGAATAGCCCCGTTGCCCACCAGGCTTTATGTAAACACGCATAATGGGAAGTGCTCGTGCAATAAGCATTTCTTCTACTTGGGTTAAGCCGGCAAGCTGAGAAGGAACTAATGAAGGAATCATGTCATTCTCTTTTGAAAATTTCTTTGGTTGTTGTTTATCATTGGTGCACCTTGAACACTGATATTGATTAGCGATTCTTGGCCTGTACTTTACGGGCCATGCTTCCTGGCAAACAGAACACTGGTAAACCTTATAGATATTGGACTTATGAAACATATCAATATTGCTTTTTGCCTGTGTTTGCTCATGAATTGGAGAATCAATCAGTTTTTCTTGCCTCTCTTTCACTGGTTGCTGAGAGGCTTGTTTTTTATAATTCGCTCTCCTTTTTGCAAGCCTTTCTTGCTTTTTATCAGCACTTTCTTCAGACAATTTTTTTTTATAATTCGCTGTTCTTTTTGCAAGCCTTTCTTTCTTTTTTTCAGCAGTTTCTTCAGATAATTGTTTTTTATCACTGGCTCTTCTTTTTGCAAGCCTTTCTTGCTTTTTTTCAGCAGTTTATTCTGATAATTGTTTTTTATCACTGGCTCTCCTTTTACCAAGTATACTCTCCTTGTCATATTCTGAAACACTATATTTTCTCTTTAAGTATTTTAATCTATTTATATTTTGACTGTTACTGTGTGTCACAGTTGAAACATAGTACAGATCATTTATGTACCCAATAAATATTGTGTGTTGTATTTCCTGCTGAAGAGCAGGAGTTATAATGGTAGCTTGCAGTGAATTAGCATTAGATTCTGTGGTATGAATGACACAGTTAAAGGCATTAGCAACAGCTTGTATGATGAGATGATCACACCAAGTACCAGGTATTGACATTTGCTTAATATAGTTTTCCCAGGCATCATCAGAAACACTCTCAATATATAGTTCCGGGTAATCATGTAAATGAGTTATCCCGGCCATGCGAACTTCTACATGTAGGTCTGCAGTTCCATGAAGTTGATGTGAAACTGATTTGAAAAAGCAATCACCAGATCCCCCCGCATCATGTGGTATTAAACCTATTTGTGCAAGCCTTTGACTTAAACAATTCCACAGTGAATCAGCTGTATTATGATGCATAACTCCCTTCAAACTTGACTTATTATTACAGCGGTGTATGCAGCTACAATGCTTTTGCCTCATCTTACATTTCTGTGTCTTCATGTTGAAGGCATATTTGCCATAAAAAGTATCTCTGTTGTACCATAATCGCCAGATTTTGTGGTTTTGACTCAAATTAGTGATAAATGAACTCTTTGGAATACTTTGTCTAACAAAAAGCTGTACCTTTTTTCTATATCTTTTTTTGTTAAGCACCTTTAGAATTCTTTTCAGAGGAATTCGAGATGGCTCCCCGTCTCTTTTCCTTCTTCGATTCAAGGTTTCTTTCAAAACTTCACCCTTCTCAAAATTGATTGAACTTTGTAAGCTGTATTCCGAACATGTAGTGCAAATAAGCTCACTAACAAGCATAGCCGTACAATTTTTAGATCCAGTTATCAAAGACTCAGAAGGATTTTGTGTACCACTTCGAACACTTAAAATAGTGCCATTTTGATGTACTTTGTTGCTCACCAGAACGGCTGAATTAAATATACAATTCAATTGGCTTAATGGGCGACCACAACGGGTCGATTGGCACAATGGCCACGAAGCAATTGACTGATTTGTTATGCGACCACAACGGGTCGGTTGGCACAATGGCCACCAAGCAACACTACTTGGTTGATTTGTTTTGCGACCGCAACGGGTCGGTTGGCACAATGGCCTCCAAGCAATACTACTTGGCTGATTTGATTTGCGACCGCAACGGGTCAGTTCGATCAAACATGGCGAACCGTTGAAAACAAACCACGTTCTGGTTGATATACAGGGTCCAGAAGTGGCACACACTTTCCTCAGGCCTTGATAAATTACACCTACGAAACTTTTCAACAACATAACAAAAGAACTTACCGACTAAACAGCAATAAACGGGCAATAAAGCTTGAACCTTCACCAACGAACAACCACGTCCTCGAACGTCCGACAAACTGCGATGCACGAGGCAGCATCCTTTGCGCAACGAAATTGTGACGTCATTCAAAATGGCGCTGAAAAGATGAACGGCCGGCCGATCGAACGAAAAAACACGGGTCAGCTTTCGCTTGCGTGCACAGGACACCTACGCGATCACAGGTAGCCCAGGAGATTAGGAAGCGTTCTTCCTTCGTCGAACGCAATAAAATTCAAGTAGTTTGATTGCCAACAAGATCTTACGGTTTCTTACCTGAAGCTCACAAAGTGAATTGAATTTTTTTGGAGGCATCTCTTCTTGCGAAAGCCAATATGCTGTTCGCATTTGCTTGACCAGGGAATCATCACTCACTTTGCTAGCAATGTCACTTGCAGCTTTGAAATTTTTTTGCTGAAGCAACACTTTTGCCGAACTTTTGTGATCCACCTCACTGATGTGACGAACAAGCGCCGATCTTTGGAAATTTTTGCATCCACTCGTGAAACGCGTTCTTCTTTCCAGCTTTTGTGCAATCCTTACAAATCATCGATAAATCATCGCACGAACCTCTTGTTTGCAGCCATCCAAACTCTTTCAGCCATTTGTCTAAAAACTGATTATGTCTTCCTCCCTTTTCACGGTTCATAGTGGCCACTTGACCGATCAAACAACGAACAAACATGGGAAGGAGCTCATTCAAGTTTCCCGGATGTGTAAATCGTCTCCAGTCCCCTTTGTGTAGTTAAATTCAATATGGCCACCACGATGTGAAGTCGCTTAGCTTTGTTCAAAAATTGTTTACGTCACTCAAACAACAAAATCTATACAACATTCAAAGTAAGTAGAGTGAGTTCTTGAAGTCAACATCTTGCGTCCTGGGACGCATTAAAATTTTGATGCTGCATTTTTTTTGCGTAAAAATGCACGATTTCTGCGTTAACGCGATCCCTGAAAGGTTGTTCTGAATGTGCTTTTATTATGGTGTAGCCTCATTTCTGCATTTCACTAAAAGTGGTAATATCAATATTTTGGTCTGTTGCAGTTCTTGGTTTAAATGCTTGCTTGCTAGTTTGAATCCAAGAAGACATTTCTCTTATTTGACTCTCTTTGTATTTTAGTCTGTCATTTTGCCAAATAGAACTTGTATGTATAGTGTCAGGAGATTGCCTGCCTGTGATGAATAACACAAACATTCTCAATCATACATGAACATGATAACTAGGAATCTGACTATTACCTTTTCTTAACTATGATTTTTACTATTATTACTATTATTATTATTATTATTACTATGTTTACTATTATTATTCTTAATCAAATCAGGGGTGTTTTAGTCTGCAAATTTAATGATATTGGTTAATGAGAATCATACAAACTGAGGAAAACTGACTGCAAATGATTGTGAACCGTACGCATGAGTAAGTATATTGCGTTGTCAGGTGATTTGATCTTCTACAAAAACATTATTGATTATCAACCAAGCAACATTAAACATGTTTTCATCTGTAGTTAAAAGTACTTACACATAGTGCTATTTTTTTTCAACGTGATGTGTACTTAAGTACCTTTCATCTAATAAAGAATTTCTTCTCTTTTCGAGCAGATATGTCACGTCACAAAAATAGATACCAGAAAATATTACTGAAGACTACCTGATTCAACTGTAATAATAACTCCAAACAGCTTTTGAATGTCCTGAGACATATGCAAGGTAATTACATCTCTGCCTTGGATACGCTTCCTGACACCATCATGATCAGGATACTGACATGTTACCTTTGCACTTCTCCAAAACTTCCCCAAAGTGTGGCGATGCCTATAGCAAATCCACATTTTTTTATTTATCCTCCTGAGCGAGGTGAAATAGGCCAATCCTTGCCAAGATTAGCTCATTTTCACTTAAAAACCTCTTTAGACAGGTGGCAGCTTATCAAATGATGTTTTACTTCGTCATTGCATTCAGACAGTCGTACCAAACCACTTAAGCCACACAATGAACCAAAGTTTTTTCCGTCTTTGCTATTCAAAAAGCAGTCCTGAGACATAATGAACGTCTCGCTAATGAACGACTTCTTCCTGTACTTGTAATTGTTTCCAACGCGATACAAGTTCGGAAGATCTAAAGGAACTCACCATAACTTTGTATATTCGATACGATTTCAATTTCCGCATCAAAGGAGAAGCCTACTGTAATTCGTGAGTGGTCAGTAGTTACGCTCGTGAGGTAAAGAATGGGTTTGTGCCTTAATCACTCAATTGAAAGACTCGCGTCACTCTTATGAAATGGTTGAACGGAATACAGACTTCGAGCAGTCTCTTATTTTGCTAAAAGATAGTGAGGTCACGCGTATCCTGTGAGCATGGAGAAGCCGCGAGACGCGAGACTCGTATCTCGCGTCTTTGCCGCTCCACGCTCTCAGAGTTGGGCAAAGACAAGACACGTTATTTCCGGTGCGATACAAGAGGTTCAATTGTTATCTCGATTATCTAAACACATTTATTTACGCGGTAAAGATTTGTTTTTAAATCTATGAATTGATGCTAGTCCTATTTGGAACGAAATGTATTTGAAATAAAAAAGAATACTAAGTAAAACAAAAGTTGTCTGCAACACGAAGGACTGAGAGTCCTAATGTTTATCATGGTACTTTAATGCATATGTTCGAATTTTCCCAAAAATCTTCTGATAATCTGCCCGCACCCACCCCTCACCCCGCCCCTCGCCACTGAACTCTACTGTTTTCACTCAGCAGCTGGTCAGCGGTCACGTTTATAAGGTAAACAAACCGATCGATTCTTGATCACCGTTCTTGTCGATCGGAATATCAAAATACCAGCGTGATATTGCCGCGAAGATGAAGCAGTTATGTTATTTGATTCGTACTTCACATTCGAGTCGAAGCTTGGGTGGCACAGGTTATTTCTTGCGGTGGAATCGACGAGGGGAATTCGAACACTAGTTGTAGTGTTTGAATTGTTGAAAGAAATGGGAAATGGGATGGGATTGTAAGTTTAACGAACAATTTCAAATTTTGCCGCCTGAATTGAAAGTAAAGTTCATTTTAATTGCTTTCGTATGTATTTCTGACGGTTTTAGATCTACCTGCTTGATTTCGGTTACGCTTCATGTTGACAAGTCCCTCAAAATGGCGGCCAAACTTGGAGATTGCCGAAAATAAGGTAAGTGCATGAAGTTATAAAGTTCTTGTTAAGGTCGGGCCGCAAAGTTTTTTTCGGTAGTTATCTTTTCTATGGCACCTTCTTCCTAGCTATGTTAGTTGGATTAGTTAAGAACGCCTCACTTTTTCAAAAATTAACCTTGAATTTGATCGGTTTTGGCGTGTGTGATTTAGGCGAACCGATAAGGTGTCATTCAAGTCTTCCTGTTTCCTTGATTGACACGTGATGTTTACGAAAGCCGCTTCGATAGATAAGATAGAGTTAATATACATGGCTGTGGTATTTGTTTTTTGCTGAGTTCCGTAGTTTTTGTAAATTGTCCTCCAAAGTTGTATGAAATTAAAGTCTTGAAAAGTGTCACGAGAAGCCTTCGCTCGAGTGAAATTTAATTTCCGTAAAACTCTGAAAAATAAAGAGATCCGATCAAACTGATTGTGATTTTGGTATAGGTACATGAATGTCTTACAACACACAAAAAACGAGCGAAATCCGTGTCTCAAGCAAAATCGACCGGACCGCTCTCACAGAGACACTCTCTTAAGTGTTAATTACCAGCAACAAATTTGCTCTTAATCCTAAGCTTTTGGTGGTAAAAGTAATGGACAACAATCAATTTCAAGCAGCTTATTATCTTTCTTTTTTAAATGGCCTGACTAAATCATTTAAGGGAATAAAATGAGGTAAGAATGGCTGATCAAAATACTTTAGAAATGTACTGCAATCTTCCAGGATTGTAGCAATTTCAGAGCAACTTTTTTTTTGTGAGGAGTACTTGTTACCTCATCTGATAACTCATAGTCATTAGCATTGGGAAGCCGGTTATCTGCATTCAGAAGGTTGCATCCCATACTTTTATATCAGAATGTAGTTGTTTAGTGGGCTTCAGGACAAGAACTTGTATTTCTCCCCAGGTGGTTTTAATACCTGTTGGCACAACATCTGGATTTGGTGTTGCGGTTTAGGTTGTTGGGCATTTTTTCAAGCTGTATCCCTTCAGGTGTTTTACCCACCACAACCTCTGATGCTTTTGCTGTTTTTGAAGTGAGGGGCTGGTTACTTTCATCTGACCTAGTACAAATTTCATGCTCTGAAAGCTGTGGAAGTTGGTTTTGCTCTAGAGGCTCTTTGCTATTTTCTTGAGGTTCTTGTTCCTTTCATTGTTCTTTGTCACGCTGTGAGTGGTCATGTAAGTTTTCAAGTTGTGATTCTTCTCTAAAATTAACTACAGCAACTTCCATGTCATCGCCATTGTCTATGTCTTCACAAGATAGTTCTTGAGAAAGAGAAAAAATAAGGAACTAGAATATAATTTAATTGTTACATTTGTTTTATCCTGTTAATGAATTTCCTTGTAATACTGATAAATTACTGTGAGTACGCTTAAGTACTCTATGGCAAAAGTCAGGAACTATGCCATGTAATTAAGGAAGCAATTTAGTTCTCAATTGCTCATTTTCCTATGCTAAAATGAAGCCACAGGAACGAATATGTTGTGTGTATTTTGGTTGCTTATTTTCCTTCACATTTTGTGTACATGTACATTTTTACATATTTCATTTAACTGAAATTTTATCATTGATTACTATAATAACTTGAATGCAAAATACCTTGTGGTTTGGTAATGAGATCAGTTTCTTCTGGCATTCTTCAGCGGCTTAGGGGCTGTCATCATTGAGATGTAACTTGTGGTAAACTAGTTCCCACTCTCACTTCTCAGCTGATATAGAGGCAGTTTTTCGGGTTTCTCAGAACATTGTTTCCAAGCAGTCACCAAGCTGGTTTGAATGGCTTTGACTGAACTTGACCTGAAATGAAAGACACGAGGATCATCTGGGTGATGTGTGGCTTCACTAGGACCATCATGGAACTCTACTAAAC